TTGGGCTGAATTACGTATGCTCTCTTATAGCCCTTATACCAATCATTCCCACCTGTGATATGTAGATAGATACAAAGCTATACTTTAGCTTTAGCTATACTTTAGATCAAAAGATCTCCCTGCTTGGTCCTCACGCCCTAACTACATCAAAGGGACATTATAGTCTGCCTTGTTGTCAGACTGTAGACCAATTTAAGAGCAACCTCACTGTCCTGACATTTCCCAATGACAGGGAGCGAAGCAGCTAGCAATCTGATTCATTGACTAAGTGATGGGACCCTGAGGGAGCTCTTATAAGGTATTCTGCATCCAATAGCAAGGCTCCTCCGACCAACCCACCATGGATCCAGCCCAGAGTGCCCTCCACTGGACAACTAGGGACAGGGATTACACCCCCTCCTGTGAAAACATAAGCAGGAAGGGGGCCAATGACAAAGAAGGGGAAAGATGTGTGGCCTCCCTCCACCCACTCAACATCCTGCTACAGCACACCCACAACACTAAAACAGCACACACAGAACAGCCTCCACCCCACACACAACACTCACACTCAGCCTCTTCCCCAAACAAAATTCAGTCACCACACATACCCATAATTAGCCACCACACACATAAAAGACGCAACCACCACACACAGTTCTCCCCACCATATATACAGCACTCAGAGTCTTTTACACACAACACTCAACAACCAAACATAGCCACACACGGCTACACTCAGGCTTCCCGACATATATAAAACACAGAGAACACCACACAGAAACACACAACACTAAGCCGGCACACTCCACAGGATCCACAGAACTGAACTGATGGTTCTAAGAGGGTGCCACAATTGGGCATTGTGCCTAGGGCCCTGGGCATTCTTATTCTTGTTTTGACTTGTGCTCGGCTGTTCTGAAGCATGGTTGCCTACAACTATCAGGGTTATTTAATAAAGTGAGAGTTCAAAGTAAATTTCTAATTTATGACTAGTATAACTAGACTGAAAGCATAGCTGACTTAGAGAATGTTTCCAGTTCGGCTCTTTTGACCTTAAATTTGAAAATCACATTGAATTCACTTTGAATTCACACTATAGTGAATAACCCTGTAAGTGTTGCTCATGTCCTCAGTGTCTATTCCTGTTCATGACCCGTAACCAGCAACAGTTCCATCATATCTTGATTCCCTGACTCATTAATGATGTTACGGCTTCCTGGCCTGACCTGTTTTAATACCTTGATTTCCCTTTGCTCTTTTGTTGAACTTCACTTGCGATACTATTCCATCTCAAGATGTCTGTCCGCTGCCCCTTACAGTTGTGTATCTATGCATGAGTGTCCACCTCTCTGCAACTGAGCTCCAGCTTATAGCATTGTTACAATCGATTATTTGCTTGTTTTGTTTTGTGAATTGGGTATGTCCACATCCACAACGCTTTGATCGTTATCTCTTTTACGTGCATAAGAGGCATGTTAGGAAATATTTCTCATAGGGGATTTTCTTTCTAATATCTTAAGGCGGACAGCTGTAAAAATCAAATAAAAAAAATTAATATATATATATATATATATATATACATATATATATATATATATATATATATATATATCTGTTAGCAATTAGCCAGACAAGCTTAAGTTATCTAAAATACTTACTTGTCACTTACTGATTGTTTCACTCAGAGAAGCTAAACTCAAGAGATTACACCGTATTCTATTAAATAACTGTTATGGTTGACCTTAGACAAACACCCTAAGATTAAAAACAGGTTTCCTTCCACAAGATATTATTTTTTGGGATATTATTTTTAGACTGTCCTCCAGTTTATCACGAGCAATGCCATTATTCATTCTAAATAATATTACTTATCCCCTCTAGTTAAAAATTTTTGGATCTCCCACTCTATATAAAATTTGGATAATTTATTTTTGTGGAATTTGGACGATTTTATAATACCCAAATATACTCTAATAACAGACAAGATATTCAAACTGTCAATTATATGTTGTACATACTTGTTTTATTCGTTTTACACAGATATATTCTGATTGTTTTTATAAAGAATAATATCTGCTACAGAATATATTGAAATCATTAATGTATATGTTTGTGTTGTTACTCAGCGCTTCGGAGGGCATGCAGAATTGTGTATAGGAAAAACGCTTTTCTTCCTTCACCCTCCAATTTGTTCCAGTAAAACTGTAAATTAATCTTCTGGGGTGAAGGTTGCCGCAAAGCCAACTCATACCTCTTATTATTTTATTATTAACTAGCTCTTTTTTATAGATGGAATTGTAGGGGATGTCCAATAGTAAGGCATGAGCGATTTTGCTGCAATAAGGATGTGGCCTGTAAATATTCCCCCAAAGTAAACATGATAAAATAAATGTTTTCATTGGCGATATAGCTACTAAATTGTAAAAAAAAATCAATGGAGTGTTCCCTTAACATACGTTATAGGTGATTTTCAGTGTTTTATTTAATAAATAGGTACATTAGCCTTAATTCTCTTAACATATATTTATGATAATTTCCTGGTGGGTACATTCTACCGCTAGCTGTTTGACTGTGTCAAACAAATTACAATTTGTCCCTCTTGTGATATATGCTATGAATATAAAGTAAATATACAGACATTGGTACAGTGGTACACATTAGGTATGGTCATTTCTTAATAATCTGGAGAAAGTGTTCAGACTTTTCAGATTCAGGAAAAAATAATATCATTCGTAAGTGGATAGATCATAGAAGGAAGGTACCCTTCCTCTATAACAAGTTCTTCACCCCTCGTTTCCTGGCACAGACTTTAATTCTCCAGTCAGAGGCTTATCAGTCTCGTTCTCCCATGCCTCCTACAATCATATGCAGACGAACAGACATTGTAGCTTTGACTGTACAAATCTATAAACAGGACCGGTATAAGGATTTGCTGGCTGACCGAAGTGAACGGGATGGAATGTAAGGTGTCAGGAGCTCTGATTGTTTAAGGCTTTGAAGGTTAGCAGGCCAATTTGAAAATATGTTTGCCGTTTAATTGGAAGCGAATGTAGGGAGTGGAGAACAGGTGTTATGTGGCAGGAACGAGCTTGATTGGTCAGTAGTCTGGCTGCTGCATTTTGTACAGTCTGAAGGCGATGGAGTTATTTTTCTGGGAGCCCCAAGTAAAGTACATTGCAGTAATCTAGCCGAGAGGATACAAATGCATGGATTAATGTTTGCATATCATCAGGTGGAATTAAGTGTTGTATCCTGGCTGTGTTTTTCAGATGAAAATAGGCAGATTTTATTACAAAGGAAATTTGCTGTTTAAATGATAGTCCAGAGTCAATCAGTACTCCGAGGCTTCGTACCTTTGATGAACTAATGAGTTTAGAGCCTCCAAGCTCCAGGCCAGTTGGGTGATCATGGGATATTTTTGTTGCCCTCACCAAGAGTAACTCTATTTGTCCGGGTTTACTTTAAGCCAGCTAGCATTCATCCATTCTATGAGGTCTGCTAAGCAACTGTTGATGCGGCATGTTGGGTCTGTGGTATCTGGAGCAAAGGAGAAGTAGAATTGTCTCATCAGCGTAACAATGATACTTTAGGCCATGTCGCCTAATGATGTCCCCCAGTGGTAGCAAGTAAATTGCGAATAGCATGGGAGAATTCGCCCCCAATTCGTTTCAAGGCCATTTTTTTGACTGACCGACACATGCCCGCATTGATACATGCACTGATATACACTCACACAAAGTCATCGGCACACACATACAGTCATTGGCAAACACTGTTTAACCAACACACACTTTCACTGACAGACACACACTGACACACCCACTCACTGACAGGCACACACTTTCAAATACACATAAAATGACATACACACACTCACAGGCACACCCATTCTCACTCACAGACACACACTGATAGCTACACTCACTCACTCACAGTAAGGTGGACAGCCCCAGAACACGAGGCAAACAAGGCACTTGTCTGGGAGCTTAGGGTGGCATTTTTTGGCGCCCCCTCCCCCCCCCCTGAAAGTGCCGCCCTAGGCAAATGCCTTGTTAGCCTTGTGGTAAATACATCCCTGCATACACACACACACACACACACACACACATATATATATATATATATATATATATATATATACATACATACATACACACACACACACACACACACACACACACACATATATATTTATATATATATATAGACATACACACACATATATATATATATATATCAGTACTCGCTATATATATGCAAATTAGGGTTATAGGGCCCAGCGCCTTCTGAGCCCCATACAGCTGTACCCCCCTGATGGCGGTCCTGGGTAGATTGCAAAATCTGAGGGAAACTTTTCTTCCCAAGCAGTTCAAGCCCCCTATGACCGCTGGACCCATGTCAACCATCATGGTCCTGATGGCGGCCATGTTTGTATATTCTTGTTGTTGGTTCTGGCTCTTTGCCATTAGCTCAGCATCACTCTGATACTATCACTGATAGTGCCAGAGCGCTGGAGAAAGTCTCAGAAAGGTCCCTGAAGATCTCCATCGCAGGCCCATGAAGGGAAACAGCACACTCTGCATGGGCTGCCAGTATGCATTTAAATTGTACATTGTATCTCTATATATAGAGTGAGAGTTTACAAAGTGAGAGAGAGTGAGAGAGAGTGAGAGAGAGTGAGAGAGAGAGAGAGAGAGAGAGAGAGGTGCAAATTTCCACTGTTTTTGTAAGAAAATGTAGCAGTGCAGCTGGGCTGGAAACATTTCCTTGCAACTCAAAAATGTCTTTTTTTTTCAGACTGGTAAATTTTAAAGATAATTATCTTGGCCAATTTTTAACTATTAGCCTATTCCTTTTTCGATCTAAACCCCCAATGTTAAATAAATAAGTATTGTTGAAAATCAATAAAGTTTTTTTGTTTTTGTTTTTTGCACAGGACCTTTGAAGTAATTCCTGCTGGTTGCTGAGGCATGGCAGTCTCTGTTAACCTCATGATTTCTATTCAGCTGCTGTGGTGACGAAGCTTTGCTAATAGTTACTTTTGTCACCAGTCACTATAAGGCTGAATACAGGAAGTATGGGAGAAACAGAAATCAGGAAGTAGTGTATACAGTGATACGCTTACTGTTTCTCAGGCTGACTGTCTTACTGCTACAGGTGTCTTGCCTTCACCGGTCTTTGACATACTCACTCCCAGCCAAAAGGTGCCTAATCCTTTAAATATTCTTGCAGTTGGTGGAAAGAACTTGGATATAAACCTCTCGACGAGAGTTTAAAAGAAAAAAGAAAACATAAAAACACAAGCAAAACAGAAAAAAAAAAATTTAAGAAGGAAAGGTGACAACAGCCCTGAAGACATGGTGAAAAAAAAATGAAAAAACTATTTTAAATAAGAGTCAACTGGAAAATAAAAAACCTTACAAATTGCAAATAATGGCATCAAGAGGTACGTTTTACATTTTATGTTTTAATAGCTTTAGAAAACGAAAGAAAGGGACCTGGGTTTCCTTATTTCAAGTTCCTGTTTCTTTCTCATTAATTTCATGAAATGCTGAACACAGCATGCAGCTAGCTGTCCCATTTGGATGTGTGTTTATGTAGCATAACTAACATGTAGAGTCAGATAGCAATGGAATAAATACATTTACTGAAATGAATATGCAAGCAATAATGACAGATATCAAAAATACAAAAAAAAATAGTATACTGTAACGTACAAGTAAAGATGCAATATGGTTATGGTGTCAGCAAGTACAAAGGACGGAGCATCTATCTATATTTTTCATTTGTAATTTAAATTAGTCATTTTGCTATTTTTGTTTTTTGTTGTTGCAAGAGACTGTGAATACATTGTAATACTGCGTTTGATCCTTTTGTGGAGTTATACCAACAGTAGCAAATCAATAGGAGATTAAGAGAAAATTGTGAAGATGTGTAATTAATATTATATTCTTTGTGCACCCAAATAAATTCACAAATATATCATATTTTAAATTCTAATTTATGTAAGTAATTGTTAATTTATTGTTATAAATGGAGACAGATATAGTCATATTAATTCTTGTTTACCGATATGGTATTATGGCAAAAATAATTTAATTACCTAAAAATTAAAAGATGAAAAATACAATATACAGTAAACGGCAGTTATATATGTATAAAATTTAGGGGAGATTTAACACTGTAGAAAGCTACTATCTTGGGTACAATTGGCTAAATATTGGGAGACATTCTATGGAATGTGTAGTCATTGGTTTTTATTTTGCAAATTACTCCAGGATAGCATTTGTTCTTGTCTTGATATATCTCAGAAAATGAAAATCACCGTAAAGCTCCCTACTAAATAATGTAATAAGAAGTTTTTAAGTATTTGAGGGAGACAGATCCCATTATAATTTTAAGTGGGCTGGTCCATGTTTTAACAAACCTCACACAGGAAGGCAGAGCGACCTACTTTTATGTTGTATTTAGGAATTTGAAATATTTTACAGAAAGTAGGGTAAATGTCTCTGTAGGTTCATGGAGATGCAGAATCACTCTCTGTCCCTGGATACACCTATTTTGGCAAAGTAAGCCAAAACCTTGGCTATGGTTGACGACGGGGTATATTATTTAAATATTTTTAATTAGTCTGCTTCCTTCTTTGTTTGAGTCTCCTTGAAGAGAACTCTAGTGTAGTGCCTTATTTACGTATATATTATAATCAGTCTTTCCTGGCTGCCTTTCAGTCTGCACATACCTGCAACAATACACCTGTAACCACAGCCTTTTCATACCTGCATCGCTAGACAGTCAGGGCTCTGTTAACATTTTGCATTACGTGCTATGCAAATATCAAGAATCGTTATTATTAATTACTTGAATGTTTACTTTTGGATATCATAGAAATTCAATTTTGTGTCACCTTTCTTTGATCTCACTTGTTTACTTTTGTATTCATCTTCCAGCTTTAATACTTATTATACTCATTTCGTAGTGTCTTATTCTGTACTTTTCCATCTGTCTAATTCCTGGGTTTACCTTCATGTAGACTACCACCTCCATGAGTCTGTATCCATAATACCCTGTATTAAGTATAATGATAAAGTAGTGAAAGATGGTTTAGTTTAGTGATTATCATAACATAGTGGTACGAAGGATTGAGAAGCATGTACTTCGTCTTACTACTTGCACTGTTGCATTGTGTGTTTCTTAATCAATATGAACATGATTCTAGACTTGTTCACAAATACGTTTTAACTGCTGTGAACAAATCAAATTCCTCTTAATCTATGCCTAAAAGAATCGATTCGTCTTAGGAGTCTTATTCAATGCATTAGTCTCCACAGGTACATTCGGGAAAGATCAATTTGTTCGGGCATAGATTAAAAGGAAAAAGATACAAATAAGGTAAAGGAATCTGCCTAACAAAGGTAGAAACCCTCCTTACTGAAATGACCTCCTAAGTAAATCATTCAAAGGTAATGGCAAAACAACAAAAAATAATGAACTTTATTTAAACAAGATCCTAAAGTTAAAATACAATAGATAGAATAAAGTGAAAAAAACATATTGTTTTGTGCATGCAGCACACTTAGGTTTTATATAGGGATTTGTTATACCCTTATAAGGATTTGTCAATACCCTTTATACTTGTTGATTATTACAAGGCACTTTCTCCTGATCCTTTTTTTCACTTTATTCTATCTATCGGATTTTAACTTTATGATCTTATTTAAATAAAGTTTATTATTATTTTTTGTTGTTTTGCCATTACCTTTGAATGATTCTACTTAGGAGGTGATTTCAGTAAGGAGGGTTTCTGTCTTTGCAGATTCCTTTCCCTTATTTGAATTTTTCTAATTAACTTTGGTCATGCCCACATTACCTCTCTGACCATATTTATGACCACGTATTAGGTTTTTCCTGATATCGTTGTCTTCCTCTTTTTATAGATTAAAAGGAATTTGATTAACTCGTAACAGTTGACATGCATTTGTGCATAAGTCTACATAATTCATCTTCTAGCAAGATTCTGTTTGTATAGAGCTTGGATCTCACAGTGGTAATAGATTCTGCTTGTATTAGAATGCAGTCCAGCAACATTCCATTTTACCTGTTGGAGTTCACATGATCTAAGATAAGATTTGTCTTTCTTCTTAACATGCAAAGCAACACAGGGGATTTTTTTTCATAGACAGATTATATCTAACTATTTTTGAGATTTATACCTCTTCCTGTAATATACATTAAGGATGTGTTTCTTATGTGTATTATGGTGGCATTAGCAGACATGAATACAATGTGTACATTCCCAAGTTATATCTATGTATTGAATTATTAGAGAGATCTGCTAAGCATCATAACCAGGACTTCTACATTAGTCCATACAATTTTGGGCAACAATGATATGCTGAAGTGGAGGTGCCCCGGTTTTTGTCAAAATGTGACGCAAATGGGGGAGCTGGTGGACACACAGGAGCTATTGGATCTGATACAGTAGATACACTAAGCACATGCATTGCAATAGGCAATCAAATAAGTTTTCATCTCTTTTTACATGATTTTAATAAATGTACATCTTTATCCTTTACTTGGTTGTTTTGTAGTGTAGGTGATTACTTTGTTTTGGATTATGAATAAGTGGCATTAATCAATGCTTACCGCCCTCCCAATTTAAAATACATGCACTGTACCAGTTAGTACATTTAACCTGTAGTGCATTTTGATATTCTTGCTAAATTAAACCTTGAGATTCTCAAAACATCACTTTACATTCTGCATATGGCATCTAATAGTAAGCCTTTTTAAAGGGACATTCTAACCATAAAACTACTAAGAACCATTATAGTGGTTATGGTGCCAGGAGCATGGGCGTCTGCAGGGGGGGGCCAAGGGGGGCACTTGCCCCCCCCCCCCCG